ACGGAGGGGATGGGCCACGCCAACCTCGCTCTGTCGGGGCCACGGGTTACCCGTTTCCACACCCGCGTCCCAGGCGGGGCGGCTGGGCACTTCCTACGCGGCACGGCGCCTGAGGTCACCGATGAGACGCCTCCAGCTTCTCCTCCCGGGATCGAGGCCGGCCAGAGCTTAGCGGCCACGGACAGGGGTGGAGGGGAAGTTGGGAAAGGCCACGGACGCAGAGAAGGACGCGCTCCCTCTGTGCTCCCTCGCTGTGCTGCCTGCCCCCCGAACCCCGGCCCGTGGGGCAGACTCAGTCACCCTCAGAGGCTCTGGGATCACCTGGGAAGCCCCGGGCCTCTCCTCAGCTCCCTCCCTCCCCCCGGCGGGCTGCGGCTGAGGTCACTCAGACGTCCTCGGTACGTGTCTCTGCAGCACGCCCCCCACGCCCGCCGACTTTTATCTGACCCCTACCACCGTCCTCGCCTCTGCCAGAAGCTTCCCCTCCGTCTCAAGCCCGGAACGCAAATATGCCAGCGTTCCCCCAGCAATCAAGATGTGCCCCCGCCCTTCCCCGAAAGGACCACCGCTAACACCACAGAGGCCAGCTCTCCCAGCCGGCCGGTGCAAACCTCCCTCCCTGTGGCGACTGCGCCCCGTTTCCACGGGGAATCACCCCTCCCTGACCTTCCGGCTTCACCCCCCAGGCCCAGACTCCTTGGCCCCCCCGAAGTGGGCAGGGCAGGTCCTGAGCTCTCTGCGGGGACGCCCGGAGAAGGCGGATTCTGCTGGTTCTGCCGAGCGGTCCACGGGGCCCGCGGCTGCTAACACACACCTCCGTTACGTGAGGAGAGCCCGCCTGAGAATGCGCCCCGCGCAGGAGCAACCCCCCTCCCGGGTCCCGCACAGACCCCAAAGAACTGAAAACAGGACCTCAAAGAGGCGTCTGCACGCCACGTTCGCTGCCGCGTTATTCACAGCAGCCAAGATACAGAAGGAAGCCCAAAGCCCAGCGACAGAGAGACAGACACAGAAAAGGTGGTACACACACCCTGAAGTATCACTCGGCCTGAAAAAGGCGGTGGGGGAGGGGGGAGCTTATCATCTGCAGCACGTTGGATGAATTGAGAGGCCAGCATGCTAAGTGACGTGAGCCCCTCACAGGACAACCGCTGCATGGCTCCCCTTCCGTGAGAAATCTACAGGAGTCAACTCAGGAGCAGAGAACACGAGGGCGGTTTGAAACGGGGAGCTGGGGCGTAACGGGCGCAACGTTTCAATCGCGTGGGGTGAGTGAGTTCTGGAGTCAGCCGGCTAACACTGTGTCTGCAGCTAATACAGAGAGCGTGCTTTAAAAACACCTATTTTATTTGTTCATTTTATGGGGGGGGGGGGAGGACCAGAGCGAGAGGGGGAGAGACGGAATCCCAAGCAGGTTCCGCGCTGTCAACGCAGAGCCCCACGCGGGGCTTGATCCCACAACTGTGAGATCATGACCTGAGCTGAAATCAAGAGGCAGATGCTCAAGACTGAGCCGCCCCGTTGCCCCCAGGGGTGGGCGCTTTGAAACACGTTAAGAGGGGAGAGCTCATATCCAGTGTTCTTAGCACAAAAAGGAGAGAAAGGAAGAGAGAGAGAAGGAAAAGGAAAAAGCCACAAGGAACACGGGAAATTTCTGGAGGTGACGGATGTGCTTAGTACCCCGGCGGTGGCAATGGTATCCCCGGGTGTGTGCGGACGACCAGACTCACGAAAACATACGCATTAAACACGCTCGGCTGCTCGCGTATGGGCGTACCTACAGAAGCGAAGCCGGGAGATGGAGAAAACCATGCCCAGCCAGCGTAGTTACATTTTACGAAGTCACTGCAAACACCAACTAGCGGGTACTGGACCGCTGCTCCGAGACAACAGCTCCCGGAAAGCCTCCGCGCACAGCACCGTCGTCATCTGGGATTCGGAACCGTGACTCAGGTGCGTTTCTGCTCCGAGACCCCTCATTCGGTATCGCCGACTCGGTAACCCTGCACTGCCGGCCACCAGCCCCGTGACTCGTGCCCGCGAGAAGCTGACCCACACACGAGGGTCTCTCCCGTGAGGCACACGGCGGCCCGCCCTCGCGGACCCCGGCCAGCACATCAGCCTTCGCTCCGGGGTCATCTTCGACAGCAAGATCTCCGACAAAAGCACGAACATGCAAAACCAAACAGAGCAAAACCACCCAGGGCAGCACAAAGGGCTGGAGGCAAGGGCAGCGACCTTCCCGTGTGACCTTAGCCAGAAACGCGGGCCCCAGCGACTCAGATTTTCTCCCCTCTGTGCACGTCCGCATCTGCCTGCAAATGCATTTTGGGGTTACGACTGAGTTCTGCCAAGAGGCAGATTTGCAAGTGCAGACTCCCGAGTGACGAGGGAGGAGCGTGGTTCCGTTTCCAGCGTCTGATCACTGTCTGCACCTGAAGCTGGCAGGCCCTTGCCGTCCGGCAGCGATAGTCCCTGTGTCACTCAAGCCAGTCGGGGCTGGTTATCTGTCACTTGAACCCGGGCTGGCTGCACAGCCACTTTTCTGTAAGCGCAGAGGTCTCTGGGAGGAAGGCGGGCCCACCGTCCAGTGAGGGGGACTGCGGGCCCACCGTCCCGTGACGACATGCCCCCCCTACGGTGCACGTTCAATGCCCCCCCCAAGCGCCCCCCACGTGGCACAAGCCCACCCTGTGGGTCCCACGGCTGAGGCATGGACTGTGCAACGGAGAGGCCCAGAGGCCAGGCGGAGCGCCACCCCCCCTCGCCACTCCCAGCGACCTGCCCGGCCCCCTGCCCCTCACCCTCCCAAGCTGACCCCCACCGGGGGGCCGCGACCTTGCTCGCCACGCCAGAAATGAAGGGACGGGAGGGCTTGAGACCCCAGCCCAGTAGCCAAAGGCCCCAAATAACCCCCGAGGTTGATTACGTGTCCACCCAGGTCTGGTGAGTCAGCTAGACCCATGGCCAGAGCCTGACCTCCCCCTGACCATCACCCCCTCTGCCATCTGCCCCAGGCGGGGCTCCTGACTGGGTTTCCAAAAGCCACATCCTGTGGTCAGACCCAGAAGCCTAGGGAAAGTAGGGAAAGACAGACGGCTCTTTCCGGAAAAGGTGACTCCAGCTGTCAACACTTCCTGGTTGATTTACTGTCCTTCTCGAGTCCCTCTGGAATGCCGAACTTTATAAAGCGTCTCCCTTGGAATTGCTACGTGGGGCTCTCTGATCTGGCTCGAGGCTGCGACTGCAGAGTCTGTTTTAGCATCATTTCTCAGCCTGTGCGTGGAGCTCCCTGACCGGCCAGGCGTCACCGTTACAGGCCACGCGGAGGCGAGCACAGCACAGGCCCCGTCCCCATAACTCCCCACTGCCCCCCCTTACATGTCACTGACACCAACACTGAGACCATTACCAGTATCGTCCAGAAACAGCTGTACTTCCATTACTTCTGACCACGTCTGCCTCAGTCTTACCGTAAGTGTTAGGGGCCGGCCTGTGTCCCCCCGAAATGAGTATGGTGGAGCCCTAACCCCCAGAACCTCAGAATGTGACTATATGTGGAGGCAGGGCCTTCAAGGAGATAATGTTAAATAGAGTCATGAGAGTGGGGCCCTAATCTGACCAATGTCCTCACAGGAAGAGAGACATCGGGGGCGCCTGGGCACAGAGCAGACCACGTGAGGACACAGCGGGCAGGTGCCAGGGACAAGCCGGTGAGAGAGGCTTCAGGGGAAGCACAGTCTACCAAGGCCTGGGTCTTGGACTTCCGGAGTGTCCCGGAGTGCAAGAGCGTGAGAAAATAAATTTCTGCTGTGCCAGCCACCAGTCTCTGGTATTTTTTACGGCGGCCCTAGCAAACGGACACAACGGGCAAAGCGTTCACCGCCCCCCCCCCCCACATTCACCAGGCTCCTGCTGAGGACACACACGTAGACGTAGACCCCGCGGCTCTCGGTGCAGCAGGGAACTGAGGGCACAGACGTGTCTACCACCCAGAGCAACACAAACACGACAGCCCAGTGGCTTGTTCTGAAAATGCAAATTTGTTCCAACGCGACTGAGCTGCTGGGGAACAATCCGAGTACGATGTGAGCTCTGTGTGCGCTTATGCGTGCTTCTGTCCACAAGGAACGCTGCGTGAACACAGAGAAGCGCACCCAGCTGAACGGAAGCACGCGGCTCACACACGCACGCGCTTCAGACGCCTGCCGGGTCCCCCAGGCTGTCACGCGTCACAAGCCACCTGTATCCGCCGTCACAACCACCTTTCGACTTCTAACATCACGTGACTGTCCTCGCACAAAAGCACGCAAGTGGCAACCCTTCCAGGACCCACCTGTACGAGTAAATTTCACGTCAGTCTCAAGGCCTGGTGCCACGTTCACGTTTATGAATTTCTTAACCGTTTAATGTGCAAAATTATGCTCCCGTTTTTACCAGGTTCCTATTCCTGTTTTTATCTGTCAGTGATCCGTTCTTGAGTGTTGTGCTCCTAACCTGTCTCTTCCCGCTGCAGCTTTTATCTCCAGAGTCTGCATACCGCGGTGACTTCCAGGAATGCGTGTGTTGTGTTATAGCAGAACTGACTTTATTTAGATGTTACAATAAGGAACTTCGTTGCAGGGAACTAAGTAAGGCCTAGGTAATAAATGCCTACGATCAGGATCACCATAATTAAGCTCTGAGAGGCGTAAACCTCATCACAGAACATGTGGTTCTGGCTAATGTAGCAACATCGCCTCCTAGTGACAACATCCCCTAATTGCAGGTAGAATATGGCGGGGGAGAAACCCTTATGTATTAAAATCGAATTGTTTAAATGTTACAAGGTAAATGAAGTCATTGCACAAGCCAAGTTAAATAGATCCCCTCACCTTTAGGCAGCTTTATCTGACCTCCAGCTTCACCTTTAGGCAGCTTTTTCTGACCTCCAGCTTCCCGATCTGTTTACTGAAAGACATCCCTCTCCAGGCTCAAACAGCCTCAGGGAGGGGGCAGCACTAACCTGTCATGGAGTTTTCGGAGGTGCACAGCTGCTCTCTCAGCTTCTCCACATCGTCGGGGTGCACCTGCTCGTACAGGGTGCTCCCAAACCACTCTGACTGGGGCTGGTTCAGCACGGGGGTGACGGAGTCAGACACGTAAATGACCCGTCCCGTCTCTGCCGCCACTACAAACAGAAAGCCATCGGCTGCTTCCAGGATGAGGTGCTTCAGCTCCTGGGAAGAGAAGATCGAGGTTAGGACAGAACACTGATAAACGCAGCCTCATTAAGTTGTCCTATCAGCAACCTTTGACTTTTGTTCCCTCACTGGGATACACAGTTTTAGAAACTTTGATTGCTTTTTTCTTATTGAAAAATAAGCTAAAAAATGCACAGAGCTTGTCCTAGCTCTGAGATACAGCTACTCCAAAGACTTCTGGCCCTGCCTAAACCAGCCCTCTCTTAGGGAGAGAAGGAAATTCTTGCCCAGGGCAGGGGCTGGAAAGCAAGGAGTGATCACCAGAATGTGCTGGGCTGCCATAGGTGTGAATAGCCTCGCCTACATATTCAAGCTGCAGTCCTGTTGCTGGGGCACAAGAAGGGCCCGGGGCACAGGGCTCAGTACAAAAGGTGCTGCTGCTGGAAGGGAGGGGAGGGCAAGAGAAAGGGGACAGTGAGGAGGGCAGTGTCCCAGCCACCGCTCCCGCACGGCTGGCGTGCACTTCCTCCCCTTCCTGCGCTCTGAGCGCGATGCCGGCAGTGGATACGGGAGTATCTCCTCATATTCGGGCACCGGTCGAACTTCCAGAACTCCTCGACAGACTCTCCGGGCAGCGTCGGGAGGCAGCAGGGCACACAGCATTGCCCATATCGCTTTATGGCGAGAAGAAAGGTTAGCTGCGCCAGCCCTGGGGTCGCGCTGACTCACGGGGCTTGTGACGGTCAGCGCAGGCAGGAAGGAAGCTGCGTGGAATCCGTGAACGGGCAGCGGGCAGCCCCGCCATCATCCCAAGAGGGGCGTGAACGGAGCAGAGTCAACTCTGTTGAGATGTCTCTTCTTTGCCTGAAGGCGGCCCAAGTGTAGCCTACCTACCCGTGTCATTTTCGCATCAAGTCCGATGCAATGTGCTCTGCCCCTCTGGGGGTTGAGGAGCTAACTCTCCCACATGCCCCGCGCCCACACGTGCGCCTCCAAACACCCCATGCGCTCAGCAGGCTCCCGCCACAAAGGGCCACTTTCTGCTGGGAATCCTCGGTTCGGATGTTGCCCCACTGTAACACCGATTGAGCGCCCACAGCACACGCGGGAATCTGACACATGGGGCCCAGCCCCAGGGCGCTCCGAGGACCCAAAGAAAACGCGGGTCTGCTGGTGAGCAGAATCTGGGGAGCTCTGAGCTCTTGGCTGGGTCAGAACTTGAACATCCTCGGCCTGGGACCCTAGGGCAGAAGCAAAGTATACGGGATTTTCTAAGAAAAAGTTTGTTTTGTCCACTTCCCTTGCTTCGTCCTTCAGCTGATCTGTGCCTCCCCGCCGCTTCCTTAGCTCAGAGAATGGGTCGACACCTTCATGTTCAGGACCACAAGAGCTCACAACCGGTAGGACCGTAAGAGGGGAGCAGGATGTCTGCGAAACAGCGGATCCCGTGCGCCGGCGGACGGGGAGGAGGCTGAAGGCTGCGGGAAGGTCTAGGGGTCGGAGCCTCACCCTGGTCATGGCCCCTCTATCTACCCCTCCGCGGTTTTGTCTTCCGGGAGCACGTGATTCCTAATCAAGGTCACGGGCTTCCGAGCTCCAGTTAAACCAACAGGAAGGCCGGCGAGCACGGGTTCTGGAGGGAAAGACGTGCCTCTCAACCCACGCAGCTGTGTGCCTCCGGGCACGGTACTGTCCTCAGACTCCGTCTCTCCACACGGGTTTTTCCGGTGGGATTTTGTGACGCTGAATGAGCTCTTGCGTGTAGACACTCAGGAAGGGCTTGGCATACAGTCGGCGCCCCATAGGTGCAGCTATTGTCACCATTGACCACGGAATGGGCCGGACTCATGGAAGCAGAGTACCCGCCTCCCTCCTCACCTTCCCCATCCTCAGTCACTTAAGGATGAGGATTAACTTCAAAGGCGGACCCGGCAAGACTGTCGTGAGTTAAAGGGACCCGTAGAGAAAGCGTCGTTCTTACCCTGGTGGCTCACGGGCACGTAACACGTTTCTGCCCCGTCACCTGCCAGGGGTTCACGCCTCCCGTCACTGGCCAGGCCCCGTGGGAAGCAGAGCCTTGACGGGTGGGGCTACCCTACGGAGGGGAGACGGGGCTGGCGGCCAGGCCCCTACCGCCAGGCTCTGGGTCCTCCGGGTCACTGTCATGGCAAGGCCACAGCCTCCTCACACATGCGAGGTCAGGCGCCAGGACGACAGGAAAGGGCAGGTGAGATCCCGTGGCCACAGAGCGGAAGTCACCTGCGTCTGCCCCTCTTCCTCGTCCTTTTTGGAACCTCGCTCCCCTGACCTGACACAGCCCGGCCCCACCAGAGCAGACGGTCTGTCTCTAGTCACGCCTTTCGCTCCCGCCCCTGTGGCCGCACGCCCACGACCTCTTCCTGTCAAGCGCCCTGTCCCCGGCCCTCCGGGCGCGCTCTGGGCCCCCCCCCCCCGTGGCCCCGCACTGCTGGGGATTCAGGCCACGCTCTGCGGGCTCCTCAAAGTCTCCCTTGCTTCAGTCCCGCCCACATTCTCCCACGGCCACCTCACCTTGCCTGTCCCACGCCCACCACCCTGGACCAAGTCCTTCCAGACCCACCGGCCCATGTGTCCTGCAAAAGCGTTTGGGGTCAGGGACGCAAAAAGCCTCCGTTCATTCCAGAGTCGAGCAAACTGAAGCTTGCAGTGTTTGAGGACCTGCCTCTGACGGGCGCACAGGCCAGGGCTGAGAGTGGGACACGGGCCTTCCCGTTGACGCAGGGGTTTGTAAACTTGGTAAAACACTATCCCGCCAACCACTCCGCGTGTGAGCTCTTCGTCACGGATGGAAAGCACGGCTTTGGGGCCCGGCCAACCTGTGCCAGGCCCCGGCTCTGCCTCTGAGCGGTGGCCGGACCCTTTGTGAGCCACGACGCCCTCGTCTACACAGCAAGGACCAACACTAGCGGCCTCTCCCCCGGCTAGAATGAGGAGGAAGCGCGAAAACGGGCAGAGAGCTGGCAGCCGGCGGTGATGACGCCACGATTATCACCACGACCGCTCCCGGGCTGCCACCGTGAGTGCCACCACTCGCTGGCACGGCGGCACGTGGCTTACACGGACACGGTCCCACGTCCGCACACTAAGCCCGGGGTGTTCTCGGAGAGATGCCTCACTGAGGTTTACGGGAAATGCAAAAGCAAAGGAGACAGAGATGGACAAACACCGCCGCGAAGAGAGGGGTACAACTTCCTGGTTCCACCCACCCCTCAACCTTTAACCCCTTTCCCCGCACAGCTGGTGTCACCCCACTGACGGTGACTTCATCCCCTCCCCACAGTGACTCCGTGAGAACGCGCGGGCCCACGGACGGGCCACAGACGGTACCTGCTCCGTCAGGAATGACGGCTTGTAGGCGCCGTCTGTGGACTTGTTCCCTGTGCCCCTCATGGACTTCATGTGCGACACGGCCATGCGGAGGATGGTCAGCTTGTCCGGCTTCCGGGCCAGCGCGCTGCACGTGGGCACCATGTCCGACAGCTCCGTGATGTACTGGGTCATCTTGTTCCTCCGCCGCCGCTCGATCTCGCTGTGGTTCTCTCTTCCCGAGAGCGCGACAACAGGGCGGGGGAAAGACAAACGTCAGACCAGCGGTCGCCGTCTAACAGGACCGAGCGGCGCGTCCGCTAACACCGACCCAGAACGGCTGCCGCTTCAAACACAGACCCCTTGCGGCCTTCCGGGGGTGGGGCACAGGCTTCCGCAGGGCCCCGTCTCACCTCCAAGGGCGTCCTGAGCCCTTGTCATTGTTCCCACGCACCCGACTAGTTTCCACTAAGCACAGAGAATGGAGACCTGATCCCTCAGCCGCGGGAAGCAAAGCCAACGTGCGCGCGCGCCTGAATCTGCACGTGGGTGCACGCCCGCTGCTCGGAGTTGTGCTCCACGTGGATGTGTGTCTCCTGCGGCCCCACAGTGAGAAGCACCGTGTGGTCTCGCCATCCCCAGGGCCACAGACGGACGAGACCATGGACAAACCTCGCCTGTAGGCCCGGCAGGGTTTCTACGGCCCAGGATAGGACAGGTGCGCTCCAGGCTTATTAAACACTGAATGGCCCGTTGGTTAAAAAGAACTGTGAGGGGTTGCTGGAATCGGTCTCCATGACGCGTGAAGAGGAAACCCAGCAGAAGGGATGGTTCGGCGCTCCCACCTCGGGATTATTACCTTTAGGGTGAAGCAGAGTAACAGCCCAGCGCCACCTGGGCCCGGGACCCCCCACCTGGGCCCGGGACCCCCCCCCCCACCTGGGCCCGGCACCGTGCACCTGTCACGGGAGGCGGAATGGGACACACCTGGCCCCAGGCCCCCCCCCCCAATCTGGGCCCGGCACCGTGCACCTGTCACGGGAGGCAGGATGGGGGACGCTGGCCCCGGGACCCTCCCCACCTGTGCTGGCACCATGCACCTGTCACAGGAGGCGGGATGGGACACACCTGGCCCCAGGACCCCCCCCAACCTGTGCCCAGCACTGTGCACCTGTCACGGGAGGTAGGATGGGGGGGGGGTGCTGGCCCCGGGACTCTGGGAAAGGCTGGGTGAGCTTGCTCAGGGTGGTGTCCTTGCCCCACCCCCTACCCTCCCAGGCCAGCCTGCACCTTGTCAAAGCAGACAGGTGGGGAGATGGTGTGCGGAGAATGCTGTCTGGGGCTGCCAAAGGGGGTACGACATCGGGCAGGAACTCTGGCCGCTCAGGGACAGCAGCTGTGATGCAGGATGCAGCCTGTCCCCACCCACGCCTACACTCCTGATGGGAACCCTGGATGAGCTTCCCTCCCGTCTCCTGCCCAAAGGCACTCCTAACGGCAGACGCGCACCCTCCTCCTGACAGCAGGAAGGGAGGCTGTATCTTGCTGGGCGTTCAGGGAACACCCTTCCTGCCCCGGCCAGCCCTTCCTGGGCAGCAGGGCAGAACATCTGGAGAGCCGAGGAAGCCTAAGAAAAGCCACTCTGTGCAGCCCCATAATGAGGCTGGGGCTGGCCAGGCCCTCTGGGGGATCCGCAGAGGCACATCCAGCCGGGAACCCTCCCTGGCGTCTGAGGCTTCTCCAGAAGGGGGAAGGGACGCTCCTTCCCTGGGAAGCGGGCAGGTGTCCTGCCCCCCGGAGCCACACAAGGCAGATTCTCCCAGGCGAAAGGCAGCCACACGTCCAGGCTGAAGATAAGGTCCCCATGAAGCACAGAGAGGTGGGGACTGAGAAGGCCGACCCTCCCAAGAGGGGGCCAGGCCCAGCCTCTGGTCATCCCTGTCCCTGGCAGGACACACAGCCTCCCCGTGTACATAGCACCTTCCGGCTCGCCAAGGCCTCGACAGCCACATCGGACCCTCCCCACACCCTCTGTGGCAGAGGGGCCCACGGCTCAGAGGTACTGACTTAGCAGGAACTGAGCCAGGCCTCCCCAGTGCGCTCACCGGTCCCGGATCCAGAGCCGGAACGCCCCTGCCTTGACAGGCGTCATGGGGGAGGAAATGCCCGGCGGCTTCCAAGGGACACAGCTCGGAACTACATGTGACCCCAGAAATGATTTCCTCCCCACTCCCCACAAAGTCCCGCTGTTCTCCGGGCACTGTCACCACAAGTCACGGTTAATTCATCTCTGCAGGATGGAAACAGAGGAGGGGGGCAGCCGAACAAGGTAAGAAGGACACCAAAACCACGTCAATCACGTGGGCGCCAAACATCTCATACGAAGGGAAGACCGGCCCACGTGGGCCTGATGTTAGAGACCCTGCCCCCCAGAAGACGGATCTCATTCCGAAGCGTTTTAACCCAGATCCTAACCCCAAACCGCTGAGTCTGCAAGAACCCCCAACTCAACGCCCTGGTCACCGTGTGGCCCTGTCGAGGTCCGCCCCGCTTATCTGGGTCGTGAGCTCCAAGGACACCGAGGCGTAGAGCGTCGGGAAAGTCTGGAAACGTCCACCTTGGGTCTTTGCTCTGGAGCCAGGAAGGCTCAGCTGGACTTCTCCCTGCCGTGAAGAGCGCTCCCGGGGCCAATGCACGTGTCCCACACCGGGCGGCAGGTCGGTGGGGAACCCCTCCTCCTTCCTGGCCACCCTCTCTGCGTCAGGAGGGCGAGGAGTGTCTTCCCACCTGGGAACACACTGCCCGGCTTCCCAAGGATGCGCAGGCAAAGGGTTCTGGGAACCAACCGCCCTCTGCTTTCTCTGCCGGGGAAGGTCTCTGCAGGACACATCTGCCACACGGATTTTTCCCCGGACCAACGGGGTTTTAGTCGTCATACGTATAAACGAGACAGGTGGCAAATTCACAGGGAAAGACGAGAACTAAAGCATCATCACCACCTATCAAACCAAAAACGTGCTCTTGAGCGTAAATACCACACAGAAATCACGAGGAAAGTATCAGAACAGGTGCGATGAAGGATAAAAGGCGGACTCAGTGGAAACTTTCCTCTCACGAATAGCTTTCCTTTTAGATAATGCTAGAGGTTCCTCAGCGAGGCTCCTACAGCTACAAACAGTGGCTGGGGACCAGTGCAGCCAGGTGCCCTACGCGTCCCAGGAAAAAGACACGTCAGAGACGGGGTGGGGCCTCAGGAAGGTCGCTTAGACCCATTCGTTGAAGGGGGAGAGAGCCTCGTAAAGCCTCCAGGGGGGGTTGATTCCAGGCTTACAGAACGCCCCACGCACTGTGGCCGGGTTCACAGAACAGGTGTGAGAAGGCCGGCAAGGTCTCTGGGGTGTTTAGAGCCGGGGTCCAGAGTGAGTCCCAATACGGCAGAAAACCAGGTTGATAACATGCAGGGGCAGGAATGAAAGGTTGGAAGTTGTAAATCGAACGTCAAAAGGGTTTGACTTGGCCACGTTTCCCTCCCTTTCTTTTCGTGAACCAGTATGCGTGGGCACACGTGTGTGCACACACACACACGTGCAAATTACGCGAAGAGCACCGCGTCTAGGTCTGACGGTTGATGGCGGCTCCGGGGTGTCAGGTGTCCCTGCAGCGACATTCGAGCCAGCACCCACTGCTGGTGGCCGAGCCCGGCCGCAGGCGCACGCGGAAAGGAACCCCGGACCCACCAGAAAATGCACCATGGGGCAGCGGCGGGGGTGGGGGAGGAAGAGGCGTGGGGAGGAGGCTTGGGGTTGCAGGCCCTGCTGGGGGCGGGGGCAGGACAGGTGCTCACCTCCCAGGTGGGCCAGGACCACCCACACAGGCGGGGGTGGGGACGGGGCTCACGGTGGCCTCCCGGAAAGAGGGCCTGCCCCACTCCCGGCTGCCGGGGAGACTCATGTTTGCAGAAACGCTTTCTGGAGCGTGATCGGTTCCCCCGGGTCCCTGACTGACACGGGAACTCGCGGGGCGGCTGTGCGGTCAGGCTCCGTGCTCTCGACGGAGGCTGTCCTCCCCAGACCCCGCCCCGGAAGCAAGGTCACTCTGCACCCCTGCTTCTCTTGCCTCTCGGGCAAAAATCGCACCTCCTGTGACACTCAGGCCGCCCGTCTCTATCGCCCTCGAGGCCCTAGTCACGGTCACCCATCGGCTGCACATGCAGACATGGCACGGTGTGGGGCCCAATGGCACGTAGCCCACCTCCTGTCCCCTCCCCCTCCCGCAGGCCGCGGCCAGCCCCTCCCACGGCTGCACCCCCACCGTTGGAACACAGCGCCCCCACCGCCCGCATCAGCTCTCAGGTGCCCGTGGAACCTGCACTGTTCTTCCAATGCACGCCCACCCTGCCCTGCCTCTGGCCCCCTCATTGTCCAGGGGCCGGCAGAGGCGACACGGTGTGCCCGAGACAAGTCTGGGGTGACCCGGGCTGGATCCCACGGATGCCAACAGAGAAGGGGGCGGAAAACCTTAGAGCCCACTCCACACCGCAGACCGCAGACCGAGGAGGCTCCGTCCTGAGAATGGAGACTTGGTCCTCATCTGTCCCGGCCCTGGCCTCACCCCACCCCCTCCGAGCCGGGCCCCTGCCCCCGCTTCGTGCACCTGCCTCACCCCTGACCCTGCATCCGTGGCAAATCCGCATCCTCCTACCCAACCAGCTGGCTGTCCCTCTAAGAAAACGGCCATGACTTACCTCCTATGTGACAGTGACCATAGTTCCCAAATAAGAAACTGAGACATGAGGTCTGATGATGGGTTTGACTTTCGGACCACCCTGGAGAAAGCCTGGGAAAGCTGGCTGAGCAAACATCAGGGGCCGGAAGCCGCGGCTCAGCACCCCCGCCGGATTCTGAGTCACAAATCTGCACTGGGTGCGGGGCGGCACCTGGCCACCCTCTCTTCCAGGGCCTCCCTGGGGGGCTTCTCCGGGCTGACCGTGAGCAGAGGGGCAGGACGCCGAGAGACCCCAGGCGTGCCACACACACGGCCGCCAGGGGCCACCCGAAGCGGCCTCTCCAGCCCGCTCCGCACGGCACCCTGGCCGCTGGCCGCGTGAGGGCTGGGGATGGTCTCTGCCGGCTGGCCCAGCTCCGAGCGGCCAGGATGCACCTGCTGGCTGCCCGGTCCGTGGACCACCCCCCACCCCGTGACACAGTGGTGCGGCCCCGACTCCTGCTGAAACACGTCCCGTCTTTCCCCCTCGTTTCTCAAGTGTGGAAGGAAGGACGTGGCCCGCAGAGGCCTCGCTGTGAACTTTGGCCGTGGAAAAACTGACTTGCGGACGGGCGGGCTGATGAGATAGCTGCCCAGAATCTAAGGTTTGTTCTTAAAGATGGGCCTTCATACAATGAGCTCTTTGTAGCCTGCCCTGTGATTTCATCCCTGACTCAGATCCTCAATGTCAGGCAAATGTCACTCGGTACCTCTCCTCCTCCCTGTCCTGAGGCCCCGGGGATCACGGTCTCCTGAGCTCGACACGGTGTGCAATGTCATCTCAAGGGGGATTCTGACCGGAGAAACCCAGGGGGCGGGGGAGGGGGTCGCTGTCTCCTTACGAAGGGAGGCTGGGTAAGGCGCCCGTGGACCAGGACAGGGAGCCATGTGCCCTTACGTCCAAGGGCTACTCCCATTTCGGGAACAAAGCACTCCCTGCAATTAAAGCTGTTCCCTAGGGGCACCTGGGGGGCTCAGTCGGTTAAGCGTCTGACTTCAGCTCAGGTCATGATCTCCCAGTGCGTGGGTTCGAGCCCTGCGTCGGGCTCTGTGCTGACAGCTCGGAGCCTGGAGCCTGCTTCCGATTCTGCGTCTCCCTCGCTCTCTGCCCCTTGCCCAGTTGTGCTCTGTCTCTCAAAAATAAATAAACGTTAAAAAATTTTTTTTCTAAATGTAAAGCTTTGCCCAAGAAACAAGTGGGCGTCCAAGCTGGAGCTCTGTCCACACCGAGGGAAAACACTACATGCTTCTGTGACTCAAACTCACGTCTTGTTTCAATTAGAAAACTCCGGGGTCATTAGAGAGCACAGTATTCTCCGTCTCCTCTCTGTGGTCTCCCCCGGAGCCACATTGAGGACGGGAGGACCAGGTTGGGGAGGACAGTGCCTCCAGGAGGCATGTTTACTATATGCAGACGCCAGGAGGCCCCGAATAGTAACGGGACGTGTGTTCCTCTCCATTTGGGGTGACATGTGCTCAATTCACAGCCACGACGTGGGCGAAAAGAACCGTGACCGAAAATAACTGCTGTGGGGGCCAGCAAACGGGGGAGGTCAGTGGGCCTGGGGCTCCCCACGGACATCATCCTTCTAAAAACCTAGAAAAAATCACCAAGGCCATCAACGTAAACTGTGGAGTGCAGACGCCAGAGGAGGGCACCCATCACCCGGGGCCGGGTTTCAAGTCCCTCCACAAGCGAGAATCAGGGATGGGGCAGGCACTTTCGCCAAGAGGATCGAGCGGTCCGTGCCTCTCTCTCCACACAGCCAAACCGCCTAGTGTAATGCACACAGAACAACGCAAAAAAAGAGAGGAAAAAGAAAAGACAAAGAGGGACGGGCCGAGGGGCTGCGCCTGCCTTACCCTGCCTGTACGCGATAGTTGACCACCTGCATCCGCGGCCCCGCCCTTCCGGGAGGTGGTCTGCACTCAGGACGGCCCCTGAGCCCCGTTAACCACGCTGTCAACGTGCCCGGTGAGGAACACAGCCCCCAGGACCTCACAGTGCCGCGTCCCGGCCACCTGCTGCCTTCCTCTCCCCTTCTTGTCCGTGCTAGGAGAGGCCGAGTCTTTTCTCTAAACCTGAGCTCTAGGTCTTTTAAAAAGGAGTCCAGGGGCCTGTGTGGCTGGGCTCAGTCCGTTAAGTGTCTGACTCTGGGTGTCGGCCCAGGTCATCATCTCAGGGTTGTGAGATCAAGACCCACGTCGGGCTCAGTGCTGACAGCGTGGACCCTGCTTGGGATCCTCTCTCTCTGCCCCTCCCCCACACGTGTGTGCTTTCTCGTTCTCAAAAATAGACTTTAAAAATATTTTTAAGAAGAGATTTAAAAAGGAGCCCGTAACGCTCGGCAATCGTTGTTTAAAGAGCTGACTGCACTTTTGAGACCAACAATCCTGCCCCGGTGACCGGACTCTGCGATCTGGCCGGCGTGCGGGCAGGGCTACCTCCAGCTGCCTGTCACTGGGTCACACACGGGCCCGGGATGAGGGACAAGCAAGGGGCCCGACTACAGGCAACGGCTTGTCCAGCGACAACAGCCACTCCCTCCCTGGGTGTCCCGGTACGGTGACAGCCGGCTGTGGCTTCTTGGAATCCGAGGGGCATAAAGCAAACTCACCTGGAAAATTTGCTGGGTCCTTCTCCGTCTTCGTCGTCAAAGTCCAGCCTGAAAAGTCAAGAGCACGAGGAGACTCATTACAGGCAGGACACATCACTGGCGACCCGAGCCGCTGGCACCGAGGGGGCTCCGTGCAGGGGGACAAATGCCCCACCCTCCCAAGCCCCAGCTGTTTGGTAAACGCTTGGATGCGGTCAGCCAACGGGTTCGGCACAGGGAAGGGAAAAAGGGCGGGCGTGCATATATGCGCCATTCGTTACGTGGTCGGGGACTTGTGCAAAGGGGCCCCCACGGGCCGCCGGCGGCTTGCAAACGCTGCCCTGCAAAGGTCCACGGTGCCTGATGTCACCCCCGCCCCCCCGCAGCTCTGGGGCACCTGCTCCCCGCCATGTGGTTTGTTCCGCGACAACTGCATCCTGCGCTGTTCCCTGGCATATCATCGGCAGGCCACAAACGCCCCAGGGGCCCGAAGACAGGAAGCTTTAAGGACGATAAAGGGACCCGCACAGGCCGTGCTGCCTGAGAACGTGGCCGCTCTGGAGGAGTCCGAGGGAAAGGGGCGTGGAAGGCCGCTATCCCCTACGGTCCAAACCCAAACAAACTCATGCAGAGGAGAAACCTGGGGACTGAGCTGCTCAAAGAACTTGTCTGCCTGTTGAAACTCACCGAATCCTCAGGACCCCACCTCCCTGGGCCTCTCCATACACACATAAAACAGTCCTGATAGGCATTCGTTTAACTGATATCCCAAACTCCCCTGAGAACACCAATCCCCTCCAACAGCAATTAACGCGGCTCCTCAAGATGCTGGGGCAGTTAATTCGGATAAACTGCGCCCAGAATCTCCCAGGAGCAAAATGAGAAATCGTATGGCTGTCCTGGCCATTCGGGCCGAGGGGGGCTCCTTGGGGAAAGCCTGAGCCACTGCACTGCCCACCCTGTTCCCAGTGGGACTGAGGGGCCAGTGAGGTGCGGTCCCGTGGGCCCCACGCAGAGGACGGCCAGCCGCCCGGCCGCCGGTGCCGAGAAGCCCCCGCTGGAGCCGCTGGGCCCGGGGGCGGAAGGTGGGCCGGCCTCGTGGGGAACACGATCCCCACCTCCAGCCCCAGGTGGGCAGCGGTGACTCAGGGAAGGTACAGGACGCCCCGGCCACCAGGAAAGGCCAGGTGCACAGGCAGGGCCATCCCCAGGCACGCACACACACACGTGCACACACACGCACGAGAGAGGCCCCTCATGAGATAAATCGTATTCTCTGGCTTCGGGGTAACTTGGGGGACTCTGGGACTGGACTTAGGGCAAAGGACTATTTTCTTCTTAAAATGGGATCATTTGGTTGTTTTCGTTTTGCTTTCCGTGCGGTGTGGCCAGAGTCCTAATCTGCTGCCCTGATGATGGGCTCCAATGCCGGTTTGGAATCCCTTATGTCCAGACGCCCGGGCCACACTAGCCGCCAGGGACAGAACAGAAGGCACGAGGCAAGAGTAGGGACACGGCAGTGACGACAAACACCCCCAGGCACGAAGGGCAGGCGCGGCGGGGAAGAAAAGTGCTGAGGAAGGGAAAGAAGAGTTGAAGGGCCACGTATGCACCACTGCAGAGACAGACCTGCAGCCCCCTGTGACGCCTGGGTGACAGGGTGCCAGGCGCCAGCCACAGGCTCGCCTGCGTGGTGGGCAAATGGGGGCCGAACGCGTGGCTCTCCAAATGGCGCAAAGCCATCGTTACGCCGCACCGTCACGAAGCCGGCTCCCCACCCTCACCAGGAATTACATCCGGAGAGCCACCAAAACTGCCGCCACCAAATCCACCCCCCCCACCGTCCTCTGCGGAGCCACAGAGCGACGCTGCCCCCTAGCGCTCCCCGCGGGACAGCGCAACTGAGCGGTCCGCACAAAGATGACCTAAGCCCCCGACTGCAAGAGACTCTGTGTCAAGGAAAAGAAGCTGCATTTTCAAAATTTTCAGAATTCCTGAGGATTTAGGTAAGCACTTGGCCAAAACCTGCAGCGAGTGTGAGATGCTCTGTTATCTGCACGATGCCGGTCAGGGCACGCTGACAGGAGTGTGAGAATCGGGCTCCCGCAAGACGTCATACGTTAGCCCCCTGTCCTCGTGTTTGGGGTGACAAGACATCCTGACCTTCCCGGGCTGAGAGGGCTCCCAGGATGCCGGGCGCCAGTGCTAACACTGGGGACGTCCCGGGCCAGCCAGGACGCTTGGTCACCCTGGTTTTCATGAAGACAGCTCTGATCTCTACGGGGACCTTGCTGGCGTAGACAGACGGGGATGTGAGCCATCCGGGCGGGGTACGCGGTCCCCGCTGGGGCCAGGTCAGCTGTGGCTCCGGCGAGAGAGCCAGGGGACGGGGAAGGGACGGCCCTGTTCTGGAGCCAGAGTTCCCTGGGGTCAGCGGGAGCTCAGGAACCAGGGTTTGTCCGCAGACGATTAGAGACCACGAAACCGTGCCTCCCCTCTTGTGCACACATGACCACACGTGTGCAGCGATGAGATTCGGTAACTCGGAAAAGCACGATGCGGGGCTGAGCCCAGCGGATAAACCAGTGCACAGACAACGGGCCAAACCCTCAGGACAAGTCACCTGACCTCACGGGCCTCCCTGCTCAGCAGCACAGGAAACCTAGCTCCTGGGGACACGGCCACAACCAGGACGCTGACTTTGGGTCTCTGTCACCCCTTCACACCCCGACTTTAAACACGACAATCACGAGGCTTATTTCCTCTGCTGTAAAAGCTCTAAGTCAATCACGCTTGGCTTTGTGTCTTCCAAGTGCCTCTGTCACGAAGCCTCTGGATAACAACGGAGGGAACCAAAACGGGACTTCTGAGTCCTACCGTGTTCACTTTCAAGAATTCGGTACAAAACGTTGGGCTGAAAACGCACTGCCTCACTTTCCTGCCAACGAGCAAGAATTCGCAGTGCGAGGCCAGGAAAGGCCGCTCTGGGCGCGCGAGTCAAGAGCTGACCGTGTGCGGCCCCGGGACAGACCGAGTCATGACCGCGACGCGTCCACAAAGCTGAGTCGGCGGACGGAGCTCGCCCGTGCTCTGCAGGAGAGGGGGCAGAAGGGGAGGACACTGGGCCAGCCCGAGGCCCCCGGCCACAACCAGAAGTGCGCCCCCCCCCCACCATGGCCCTGAGATCGGGGTGGGGGGATCTCGGCAAAGATGAACAAAGTGACTCACTTCAGCGTGCCCCCCCCACACATGTGGAATCACTTTGCAAAGAATCTGAGACTCCTGAACCTTCACCTTGTGTCCCGGCGGCCAGCAGGGCGCTCGGCTTGCCCGCAGCTCCCGGGGAAGGCTGCCGGGGCAGGGCGAGGACATCCAAGCCCCGAGGGTCCTCGGGGACGGGCCAGGCAGGCGGCCAGGCGGGTCCAAGGCCTGCGAGGGGCCGGCTCTGCGGGGACGGCCGGGTGGCCGTCCCGGGATTCTGGACGCTTCCTCCACCAGAAAGCCCCGGACAGGGGCGGAGGGCGGGCAGAGGGCCCCCGCCCGTTGCCGCTTCCTTTCCCCGTCACCCGGGCCCCTTCTCTCTTCTCCCTCCCCCCCTGCCTGTGGCTCCCAGCACACCCCCACATTCCGTGGATAAAGGCGTCTGTCCTGGGACAGAAGCAGGGCCCTGCCGTGGGGTCACCTGCGTGCTGATGAGCGTGACCTCCATCACGCTCTCCTTTGAGTTTGTCTCAGTGTTGAGGCTGCGGCCAGAGTGTTCGCAAGAGCAGAGCAGGGGCCTCGATCACACAGCTTCAGCACCGGTGAAAACGCCAGGTGTGAGAAGCTCTCTGGACGGAGCCCTGTGGGAATGGTCACTTCCTTGCTTGGACACAGGGGCCGAGTCCCCAAGTCACTGGAGTTTTAGCAGAAGGAGCCGCGGTGTGCTCGCTCCCCCCCCCATGACGGGGAGAAGGAAGCCGGTACCTTCCTCACAAGGGAGGACCGCGGAGGACAGGCCTCCTGATCTGTGGCAAAGGGCTCATGCCTTGTCCACAGGCGGCCAGTGATCAGTACCATAGCCCCTCCTAAACCTCTCCTTTCTTTTTTTTTTAAATTTTTTTAACTTTTTTTTTTTTTTTTTTTGAGAGAGACAGACAGAGCTTGAGCAGGAGAGGGCCAGAGAAAGAGAGAGAGACCCAGAATCCGAAGCAGGCTCCAGGCTCCAAGCTGTCAGCACAGAGCCCGACAAGGGGCTCAAACTCACAAACCATGAATCATGACCTGAGGCTGAAGTCCCCGGACCTCCAACCCGACCCGGGAGGCCCCAAGGCGCCCCTCTGTTTCCTGACATTGGGCCATTGGGCAAGGGTGGTGCAGAGCCTCCAGGACGTGCTGTGTGTGGTCTGGGGAAGGGAAGCTGGGGCAACTGCAGAGAAGACTGACCTAACCAAGTGCCAGCCAGGGCGGAAGCACAAGTCAGGGCGGTGGCCCATGGCCCAGCCCGAGCAGGGGCGGAGGGGCAGGACTCCGGAGGATTCCAGCACCAGCCCGGGTACCCGAGGCTGATCACCCTGCAAACCCGCAGGCTGGGCTGTATCCCTAGCCTCTTGCTTGTTGAGAAGGGCCGAGGCCAGAGCCTGAGTGGCGCATGGTCGGTTATAGCGATCGACGAAATCCTGATCGCTTGATCCCGTGGTCCCAGGCCCAGCGTCGGCTCTGGGCTGACTCAAACTCGAGCCTGAATATTTCTGATACCATGTGTCTCCCTACTCTCTCTGCCCCTCCCCGTTCATGCTCTGTCTCTCTCAAATAAATAAACGTTGAAAAAAAATTAAAAAAAAAAAAAAAAAAAGAAAGGGCGAGGCCCAGCCATGGGGCTCAAAGGAGGCCCAGTAAGAGAACCACACGTTGCGAAAATAATAATTTCAGGGACATTGGGTGACTCATTGGTTAAGTGTCGATGAAGCCTGGAGTCATAGCCATTCAGTTCAAAAGCCCTGCTGGTCCCGGGCTCTGTGCTGTTGAACACCTGGAGCCTGCTTTGGTTCTGCGTCTCCCTCTCTCCGCCCCTCCCCTGCTCGTATACAGCTCTGTCTCTCTCTCTGTCTCAAAAATAAACCAACATTAAAAACATTTTTTAATAATTTCAGAGCGCCTGGGTGGCTCAGTGGGTTGAGCATCCGCCTCTTGAGACTTCGCTCAGTCCTGATCTCAGCGATTCGTAGGTCTGAGCCCATGTCAGGCTCTGCACTGATGGGGCGGAGCCTTGGGGCAGCTCGTCTCTCTTGCCCCTCCTCCTGGTGAGCTCTCTCTCCAAAATAAATAAACATAAAAAATAATAAAGTAAGTTCAAAACACCTGGAATCTGTTAAAAAAACAAGTCGGTTGAGGTGGGCGGACCTGCACCCCTGCAGTGGCCGCGGCGGGAGCCTCAGCCTCACCACCCGGCCCCGGTGTCAGAGGCTCACTGCTCCTGCCGGTCCTGCCATGAGACCCCGTGCGTAACAGTAGTCACTGCACCTGCACTGCCTTTCTTGGCGGCTGGGCATGTGTGGGACAACTGGAAATGGGCCCTGCCTCTCCATCTTGGCCTCTGCAACCCCCCTGACACATTGGAAATCTCGGCCCCTCGGCGTAAGGAGCCACCTTGTGCCTGCGTGACAGACTGATGTCCGTCAGGAGAAGTCATCAACCATTTCATGGGGACAACACTGACGATGGGCAAAGGGCAGGCCGGGTGTGAATCGTCGCGTCCGTGTTCTCTGCAGGATTGCTGTCCGGCTGGCTGGATTCTTTGGAGTCTGGGACCACAGGTGCTAAACAAAGCAGCGGCAGAGGCGTGGTTTCCATCCCCAGTTCAAGGGGCCATCGCCCGGCACCCCAGCCCCCCAGCCCTGGCCGCACCCCTTCCTTCCGTCACTAGCAGCACAGACAATGCAAACGCCGACCTTCAGCTGCCGGGCTGTAGCTCTTTGTTGAGAATTCTACAAATTCCGCCTGCAGGGGCGGAGCAGAGCAGAGCACCCGGGGGGGTCCTCGCCACCGCCGAACTCCAGGCATACAACCTGCCCCACCTGACTGTCACGCAGGCAGGGGGGGCCGGAGGCGCCCCTCCCAGAGAATGGCCTGACCAGGAGGCAGGGGGCCTTGACCCACCTCCCCATCACAAGGACAAACAAACAGAAGGTCCCAGCTGGGTGCAAATCGCAGCGCGGGATTGAGATCTTGCAAAATCTAAACAGCATGCAAACGTGAGCTTTGATTCTCCGGAGAGGAGGGAGAACACTATTGCCTAACGGGTCGAGGAAGGCGTTGCCTTATACGTATCGGCCTTCCTGGAAGCGGCTGAGGGTGCCTTACCGGGCATGCGCTTTCCTCCGCGAGGCGGGCAGCTCCGCCATCCTCACCTGTCCGTGGCAGCCATGGGGGCAGCAACCCATCATCCTGCGATCAGGGATGTCTGGAAACCATTTCTGGAATGCAGACAAGAGGGTCTGTCAATGCCCGGCGAGAGCAGTAACAGAAAAGTCACCCAGCAGTACCGGGAAGCAGCCTCTGGGGGGCGCGCCTGCATGAAGCCAGGAGGTGAAAAACAGATCTGCAGCCTTCATGGGGACACCTGGAAGTAGGTGACTTCCCGCGGGCGCGGCTGGCGTGGCCAAAACCTGAGAGACAAGCACCGCGAGGAAAGCAAAACCGCTCGGATGCGCCAAACCCCACCGAGAAGCAGAATCCGGCAGCGGCCCCTGCCACCTGGAGCGTCGTCCTCAGGAAAAGACTGTTCCCATCCTGGATCTGGACTCAGAGCGCTGGACTAGAGCCCGCCATGGCCCGCCACTCACCACGAGGACACTGAGGCCCAGGGAGCCTCAAAGCATCACCACAGGCCGCAGGATGAGCCAGTGACAGGGCCCGTCGGCGCCCAAGCTCTCCGCGGGATCACGTTCCCCAGGATGAGCATTAGTAGCGAGCGAAGGTCTGAAGAATCCTGCGGCGGGTGAATGAACAAGAAGATGTGGAATCTCGGTGGAGTATTCCTCGGCGATCAGAAGAATGAGGTTTTGCCAATTAAACCATAACAACGACTGGCTGGAACTAGAGGGAACTATGCCAAGTGAAATTAGTCAGAGAAAGACCAGTATCACAGGACTTCACTCCTTTGTGGAATCTGAGACACACAACAGATGAACACAGGGGAAGGGAAGGAAAAATAGAATGAAACAGAGAGGGAAGAGTAGCCTGGGTGGCTCAGTGGTTGGCGTCCGACCCCGGCTCAGGTCACGTCTCGCGGTCCATGAGTTGAGCGGCGTCAGGCTCTGTGCTGACAGCTCGGAGCCTGGAGCCTGCTTCGGATTCTGTGTCTCCCTCTCTCTCTGTCCCTCCCCCATTTGCGCTCTGTCTCTCTCTGCCTTTCAAAAAATGAGCCAAAAAAATTAAAAAAACAAAAAAAAACAGAGAGGGAGACAAACCATAAGAGACTCAAATCCAGAGAACAAAGTGGGGGTTGATGGAGGAGTGGGTGGGGGGATGGGCACTGGGGAGGGCGCTTGCTGGGATGAGCCCTGGGTGCTGTATGGAGGCGACGAATCCCTGGGGTCTGCCCCTGAAGCCATTATTACACATGTCAACCGACCTGAGTTTAAGTAAGGACATTTTTCAAAACAAGACGAGAAGGTCTGGCATGACCTTTCCTGTACGTCACTCTCCCAACACCTTCCGCAAGCGGGTTGAGGCCATCTCAGACATTCCCAATTTCAGGGAAACCACACGGCTGAACGGCTTCTCCTTCCTACTCTGTAGAGGGTTCCTGAACTCAGGCAGAGTGCTAAACGCCAAAGTAAATACTCGAGGGTCCTCTCTGACTCTGCTTACTGTTCCGGAGATTGGGCCCCACACTTGCCCGGCCCGGCTCCTACCCTGGTCAGGAGGGAAGCCGCAGGCTTCCCAGATGTGCTTCGAGAAGACAGGTCGGGATAAATACGGGAATTGGGGCCCTTGTCAGCAGAGAACGGGCACCCGGGGTCCGGAGGTGCTCAGATGGGGCGGGTTCCCGCGCCCCGCCTCCTTCCAGAAACCAGGCAGGCGTCCGACAGCTGCCCCACATTACTTCCAAAGACATCGAGTTTCATAAACACATTCTAAGGTCAACTCAAACGACTGTGCTCCAAACTTCTGAAGGAGAATTTTAGAATACTAACAAACAAAACCTTATTTAGCTGCTGGGCTCTGATCACAGAAATCCGAGAGCTGTCACAGTTGCTGGGTTTTTTAAACGAAGGTACACACTGCGGGGGAAGTACTCTGGGGGGGGAAAAACCCCTTTCTTAAGGTAATGCTCTCCCCTGTCAACAATTACTGTACTGGATTGGTGACAGCTGGACAGCGTGAACAGGGATGACCTTGTCACCGCAGCTGCTTCTGATAAGAAAGCCGTCCTTTTTCTGAAAGGGGGACTGAAACAGATGAAGTCCGTGAAGGCCCCAAAACGGAAGGCGAAATCCGTCTGCCAGCGCAAATACGGGTGAAAACGAAAGTCGCCACTTCCCAAAACAAACCGCACAGAGTCAGTCCCCTCAGATTCTCCGAGAAAACGTTTTCCACGGTTAAGCAAGCTAGGAAAAGCCACACACCATTCGCCCTCCTTGGAGCGTCCTTTATTTTATTGTTTTTTTAGATTTTGTAACATTTATTTATTTTTGAGAGAGAGAGAGAGAGAGAGAGAGAGAGAGAGCATGAGCGGGGGAGGGTCAGAGAGAGAGGGAGACACAGAATCCGAAGCAGGTTCCAGGCTCTGAGTGGTCAGCACGGAGCCGAACGCGGGGCTCGAACTCACGAACCACGAGATCGTGACCTGAGCCAAAGTCGGACGCTTAATTGACTGAGCCACCCAGACGCCCCTGAGTGTCCTCTAAAAACATACTGGGAAGTCCTGTATCAGGAAGTCTGACTTTGATTAGAGCAGTATGTCATGAAAAGGGGGTAAACAGAAGTCAATGTGTAGTTAGGACAAAATGATACTCCTCCTATTTTTTATGGGAAGACAAAAATATTGGTTGTTTTTGTAATACAAGTTACAGAAAGCAAAGGTCCCCAAAACCCGACTAAGGGGCTCCCGCTGTCCAAGCCTTTCCTCAGATGAATGAGGGGAGCAAGGAGAAAGAGACTGGCTGCTTTGCACGAGTGCCCAGGCTTGGCCAGGGCAGGGCAGGCCCCGTCTTCGTGGCACGTCGACACCCTGTCTGCCCCACTGGACGCTATGCACGAGTGGACCTCCTCTGCCTCCATCGGACCCCGCTGAGCACACCCCCGAGCCCTCCGAGCCTGTGCAGGACACCGGGCGCGAGCCGACAGGGGGACGAAGATGTTAGAGCTTTGGGGCACCCGGGTGGCTCAGTCGGTTAAGCAACCGACTTCGGCTCAGGTCGTGATCTCTCGTTTCGTGAGTTTGAGCCCCGCGTCGCGCCCTGTGCTGACAGCCGGGAGCCTGCTTCCTGCTTCAGATTCTGTGTCTCCCTCTCTCTCTGCCCCTGCTGCCCCCCCACGCTCTGTCTCTCTCTGCCTCTGAAAAATGAATAAACCTTAACAAAAAATAAAAATAAATAAATACACTTAAAAAGGAGACATAAACGTGGCCAAATGAAACACACAGACACTAACAAAACCGGGAGTCGTTTTCTTACTGTAAGGAATGAAGTTACTTCTAGGATTTTAGGTGCTGGGCCACAAAGGGGGGTACGGCCATACAGAGGGCCCTCCCGATCGCTCGGTGGCCCCCGCTCACAACAGTTCACCGAGTGATGCGGGAGCAAAGGGCTGTGAGGGGGGAGCTCTTCTCCAGGGCCGACTTCATGCCTCTCTGCACAGCACCACCACTGCAGGTGGGGTCAGCAGACAGGCCCTGAGTGTGCCTCCACCCCTGTGCCGTCCCTGACCTCCCCGACCTCCGCCCTGCCCGTGCCCCCACGGGGCTTCACACACGGGCACACGCGGGAACACGGCCCGGACCCCAACGTGGACACGGCCCTCCGGCAGCGTCCCCGAGCGGGTGCACAGACATGGCCCCACACCCCTGCGCGAGGGCGGAGGCAGGCCAGCGGGGCCGGGGAGTCCTGGACCCCAGGCCCTTGGCGGCCCCAGCAGAGGCTGGAAGGGGAGGCAAGGTCACGGTCCTCACGCGGACTTTCCCACGTAGCTGGGGCTGACCACACGAGAAAAGGAGAAGCGTCTAGTGCGGCACAGAAACATGAACGGTTTTACTGACAGATCACGTAGCAAAATTCAAACCCACGGTACAAACAAGTGAGGGACTTTCAACCGTACAAGGGACAGTCTGTCACGTGGTAAAGTAGTCTCCTGTCCCTGGTGGGTCACCCTGAGGCCTCGGGGCCTCCCGTGCAGCCCTCGGCACTCAGGCCTTTGTCCCCGTGTCCCCACCAGAGAGCTGCCCCCGCCTCCCCCACCTGGAGCTCTCTCCCCCGGGGCTTCGAGGTGCCAGACGCCCCTCCCACTCACAGGCCCCGCCTCCTGGGTCTCCCTGCTCCCCTCCACCTCTCCTCTCCCCAGGGCATCTCGTCCAGGCGCTTGGCCATGATCCCAAATGCACCATCGGGGCCTGCTGTTACCCCTAAAGGTCTCTCCAACCTCTGAGTTCCGCTGCAGGCCTGCCTCAGGCCCCCCTCCGCTGGCCTCCTGCACCTACTCTCCCCCGCCACGCATCGTCACGGGGGCCAGATCTGCCAAGACCAGCCTCGCTCATATCCTCCGGCGGCTTCTGTCCGCTCCCAGCACAAATGTGGAGCTCCCTGCCACATCCAGCCAGTCCCCGTGTGGTCAGGCTGCCACCCACCCGTCTTGAGCTCTGGTCACACTGCTTGCTCTCTGTTTGTTGAACACGGCGTGCTCCCTCCCACCTCAGGGCCTTTGCACACGCTATGTCCTGTGGCAAGAACGCTCTCCTCCCTCTTCACCAAGCTAACTCCTAACAGTCATTCAGCTCAGCTCAAACATTACTTCTGCGGGAAGCTTGTCCCTGGCCGGTCCCTTCCCCGGCCTGGGCCCGGTCCCCTGTGGTTCATTCTTACCACACCTGTGCTGCTCCTGCTGCGAAGCAAGGAAGGTCACAGCCGTCCAGGTGGACGATGGCAGGGCCTGAGTGATGCAGCTGCGAAGAGGGCGTTCAGGAGGGAAGAGATGATGTCAACGCCCCAAAATACTCCATGTGTCACCGTCAGCACCCAGAAAGGGAAGATTCTAAAAAGCCTCGATCACCTGATCCTCCCACACAGAGACTATGGGGCAAAAAATTTCCGGAGGAGGAAGGAAAGTACGGTTGGGCCGGATGCGCATTTGCATCTGTGCACGCCACACACCTGACACACGGGGCCTCTGCAGCCAGGCGGGGCACGAGCTCAGACCTCCCTCCGGCCTCTTACCCCGAGGGCCGTGTGCCAGCTCGGGGTCCTGGGCGCAGGCCTGGATTCCCCATGGCGCGACTCGGTTTCTCTACCTGTGCTCCAACCGGGATATGGGATTAATCCGGACCCTGCTTCCTTTTGCAGAGGCTGCTGTAAGAAAACGGGGCCCCGTCGCGATCACAAACGGCATTCGCGAAGCTCTGCTTTTGCGCCGGGAGCCTGGCAGAGGCTGGGTGGTCAGAGACGAGAGGACCCCTCCTGCCTCTGGTGGAGATGGGGCTGGGCAGAGCCCTCGCGAGGGCCGTGGGCTGCGCAGGTGGCCTGGCAGCACTTGTGGGAATGCCCACGAGGGCCCAGGAAGGCTTCCTGGAGGAGGCCACACCTATGCCATCCTGGCCGTGGAAACGCTCTGGGAGAAATGAAGCAGGATGCACGGAGTGCCCTCTTCCGAAATGTATTCCTCTGACTGCTGCAGAGCTGTTGA